TGCCTTATACGGTAGCATAAATTTTTTTCTGGTTGCTAATGTGTGTGGAGGTATGAAAGACAGTGAGTCCACACTTCTGGGCTCCCCTGACCTCCCAGACATCTCACTCTCTTCAGGCTGCCAAGACCACCACATTTATGATGTCTCTGTGAAAAACAAAGGAGGCAATGGACAGCTGCATCTGCCTTACCTCATGTCTATGCTTTGCACTGCCTACACGATGCTTTGGAAATAAATCAACGGTCAGCATCTTTGAACTGAACTCGAGATGTCATTCTTGCCCATTCTCTCACCTAGACCAGACTCCATGTTCTGACTCTGCATGGGGTGAAAGTACTGCTGAGGAAGCCCCTGTTAAGAGCCACAAGTGATCCATTAGTTTAAGGCTGGGCCCCATCTGCACTGTCAAATGACTAGGTAAGTGCAGATATTATATCTGTGAAGGTCAAGGGATTACTGCCTCAAGAGGTTTTCAATGATCTATTCTGGTGGAGAAAATGCCCAATAGCACACATGTGTCAGTAGAAAGGGGGCGAATGATTTAAAAGTTCTGAGAACCATCTAACTCAGGTAGAATGTGCTTAGTTATTATAAGCTTAAACTCTTAGTCACATTAGACAGTGGCAATGCGTCCCAAATCCCACCCGCTTGGTGTCTCCTTCTCCCTCTGAAAGTCTCTCCCCAGGCACCTTTACAAACCCCGGGGCTCCTTACACCACAATATGAATAGCACTGCCCTACCTTATGCAATATTAGTAAGTTAGAGTCCAAACTGGGACATTTTTGAGCATGAAAGGGAGCACGGCTGGTAATGATGCCAGACCACAGACCTAACTTGGGACCATCCTGGGAAAACTGGGATTACAGTCACCCTATAGATGTCCTAATCCCAGTATCTGCCTGCTGAGGCTCCTTCTGAAGGAATCCTGCTCTGTCCATAACCCCTGCTGGAGAGGCAGCCCCGGGCTCATCAGGCTGACCCTGAGCCACAAGACTGAATTCTAGTTGAGCATGCGACCCAAGGCTGGTAAATAACCCTGGGCTAGTGACTCTGGGAGACCTTGAGGCTTGGCTGGACACAACAAGCCTGGTCAAGCCGATTCTCTCTTTCATAAATCAGAAATACTGACCAAAGTAGCTGGGGGGTATGATGATTCTATCTTTTCTGCTTCCACACTGTTAACATGGGGAACAAGCACTGCCATTGTCAGTAAGTCACATCTGTCATTATACTGCAACAATTCTCAACTGCTAGGGAGTGGAGCGGGGAAGCGGCAATGTAAAAATTTCCAGCAATGTCTGCTAAAACCACAAATGTACACATCTTGACCAAGTAATTCCAAGCCTAGAAATTTATCTGACAGATATCCTTGCACATTTGCAAAATGATGTAGGTAGATGCTGTTCATTGCAGTCATGTTTTACTAGCAAAAGACTGGCCCCCCCAAAACGCTTAAATGTTGATCAATAGGGAACTTATTAATATATTATGTAGGACCATAAAATGTAAAAACTGAATGTACTAAATGGAATGACTTTCAAGATATATTAAGTGAAAAGAGCAAGTGTGAATAATATGCTACAGTTTGTGTACAAGGTAGGACAGAGGAAATGTTTGCGTGAGCATGTGTTTTTTCCTGTATATGCAAAAAATAATAAGGATAATAAAGGTTGCCACCAGGGAGGGAAACTGGATGGCTGGGGAGTGAGTTGGAGAATTCTTCCTGGACACTTTCATACTTGTTGAATTTTGGACCATGTGAATTTATAACCTATTTTGAAAATGAGTAAATAAAATTAGAGACCTGGGATGTATGACAGCTCTTAGGTAGGAGGTATTTAAAAGAAGTTGTCTTAGAAATATTAACTCTATCCTTGCCAACAGGGCTACCTAGGATTTCTTTGGGCACAGTGGGCTCAGGAACAATGAGATTTGGGGATTGGCAGTTTGGGGATTGGGTGACAAAGTCCTGACATCCAGCAAATACGTGCTAGGCTCTATGGGGATTACAGATATTAATAAGATAATTTACAGGTGCACAACAAAGTAAGTATAGTTAACACTACTGAACTGTACATTTTAAAATGGTTAAGATGGTAAATTTTATGTTATGTGTTTTTAACCACAATTCAAAAAACAAGGTAATAATAATACGAAACCAAAACAAAACAAAAATTTAGTCTTCTTAGAGCCTGGATATAATCCAGTATTTTGCCCATAGATGATGCTCAACAAATGTTTGATAAATGGAATAGAACTGGCAGAAGAGAGAATTAAAATAATAAATTAAAACACAAAATGGAGTGAAATAATTGCAATGATAAAAGGATAAGCCAAGTGCTGAAAGAGGGGAGGAAGGGCCCATTAATTCTGATGAAGAGGATCAGGGGTATGCACATTGTGATGGAAAGGAACAAAATGAAGGTTTTTGGATCTTACAGTCCTGGGATCCATTCCTGGCTTGACTCTTTTTCTGGCTAGGTGACAATTTCTCATTGCTGCCTTGTATAAAGCAGTGATACTACCCACCTTTCAAGTCTACTGTCCCTTGTAAATGAGGTAACTCAAATAAAGCACCTAGTAAGATGTGTACTTTACATATGTTGGACCCCCAGTGAGATTCAGTAAGAACCTTAAAGGATGAATAGAAATAGACAGTCTGGAAAAAATCTAGGAAAAAAGTATCTCAACTCAAAGGACTATTATGATTGGGTGAGTCAAGCAAGAGAAGCCTTGGGATTTTCATGAAAAACATTCAGAGGACTTAAGTAACCTTTGAATATGGCTAAATGCCAGTGCAAGACCTGGGTCTCCTCTTTCCTTTTCATTTTTGCTTCTGCTAATTTTCTTCTTTTGATTTCTTACAGTTTTTTTTTTTAAATCCTTCTCCTCCTTTCCTTCCTCCTCCTTTTTTCCCCTTCTTTTTCCTTTTTTTTTAATATCAGAAGGTAGATTCTATTCTGAAGACCATTATTATTTTCCCAGGTAGTTTCAAGGAAACTACAAAACTTTTCTGAAACAGCGTAGTTTCATAGGAGTTAAGACCTGGGAGGAACGTGCTTTCAAATTTAAAACAGGGAGGACAGAGTTATTTGCTCTACTGAGACATAATTTACAAAGGAACAATGGTAACATCTCCTGTGTACTGAGTACCTGTTAGGTGCTTCGCATGTGGTATTATTATTTCTCACAACTGCAAGGCAGATATTAGCCCCATTTTACAGAAGAGAAAAATCAAACCTGGAGAAGTTAAGTGCTTAGACTTAGTGGAACCAGGGTTTGAGCCCAAGTCTCAGTTCAAAGATCAAGGTCTTTCTTGTGTACTATCTTCCCTCCCCAGACTCCTTAATTTTCTCCGGTCTCCTGTCTCTAGCCTTCTAGTAATGCTTGCTGTCCTTAGTTCTGGAAGACATAGTCAGGTTTAACAGAAAAGAGTGCTTGAGATAGGTCATCTATATAAACTAGAAAAATGACAATAGTATTGCTATCTTTTTGTTGGTTCTGAGAGTAGAATTGTATTTAATAGAAGCCTAAGTTATTAATAGTTTATTAAAGTACATGAAAGACACAGGAACGCCTTTGATTCCACCAGATTCTCATAATGATTGATACTGAATCAGTGAACCCCCCTTCCTAAACCATTTTGTTTTTAATGCCTGAGGTCATATAGCTGGCCTCTTTCTGTAATTCCTTTTGCTTAAACCTACTATGCAGTGAACAGAATTATCACCATGCAGAAAAACATGGAGAGTGTGTCCTCTATACTCAGGAGAAAAATGTATTGTTTTGAGAATTTAACAACTATTGTACATATTTTATTCATTTGTTCTCTTAGTGACTATGTTTTTACACTGGTGGCCTGCTTTAAATGCTGGTGTGTTTTCTTTAATATTCCAAGTATTGTTTGTAAGGCTCAACAGTTTTTTAACTGGACTGTGCTCATGTCTGAATACAACTATAATTGGAACAACTTCTTGGGAAGTTCCTTTGCTTATGAGAGAAATGGTTCAAGTATGAATGTGTACAATTGCTTAATTACTCTTTGTTTTTATTTTTTATGAAATGCTTCTCTCTGGCTTATGATGTTCTGATGTAACTTTACCATTGGTGTCTACACACACACACACAAACACACATATATCCCTACTTCTTATCACATTTCTAAGATAATTTTTCCCCTGGAGGAAGATAAGACTTCAATGTTGAAAGAGGAGGAAACTTATGGGCTTTTTGCTAGAATTATAGAATATTTGTTGTAGAAATGGCTTTAAAGAATATTTGTCTAAAACTTTCATTTTACAGATAATGACAATGAGACCCCAGCAGGCAAAGTTACATACCCAGCTAGAGGGTCACTGAGGCAGGATTGGAATCTATTTCTTCTGACTTCCAGGTTGAGATATGGTAGATTGATCAGAGGGAGCAAGCCTTAAAACAATTTGTGTTAAAGGTGTCACTTTGAAACCATGTTCCCTTTGCTCCTGGTGACCTTCTGCTCCCTCGTGTTTCCTTATCAGTACTTTTGGTTGAAATTTATAGCCCAGACTCTTCTGTGCCTTTCACCTGCCTGCAGCCTTTCTTTTATCCTTCCCAACTCTACTCCAATTCTTATGTGTACTGCTGCTTCTTCTTACTGGGCAAGTATTTTACAAACCTGCTCAAAATTCAAAGGGAGTCACTGAGAGAGGCATTATGTAATGCAAAAGACTAATGGTAAAAATTTAGACAGCAATGGAAGAGAGGTTTTTATTTGTTAATTACATTAATTAAGTACATAATGTTGGTTGGAAGAGGGGAGAGCTTAGTTGGAGAGTGGTTCTCAGCCTTTAAATAATAACCCTCTAGTCCACTGTGAACCACCAAACCATACAAACACCTTTGTATAAATTAAGCTTAAAATCCATAGCAAAAATGAGAACTAGGATTTAAAAGATTGCCCTTTAAGCCTGCAAAACAACTAACATTTTTTATAGTTCCTTACAGTTTACAAAGCACTTACACATTCATTTTCCTCTTTGGGCCTCAAACAACCAAGTGAGCTCAGTAAGGCAATCAGTGTTGTCATCTAGAGGAAAAACAGAGGTTCAAAGTTGGAGAGACTTACCCAGGGTAGACTCAAATCTAAGTCTTCTAATTCTATAAATCCCAAGTTCCTATCATCTGGCCACTCTGTCTCCCAAAAAGTCCAACTGCAAACTCACAGTTTTAGAAATTGAGGAAATTGGACCAAATCTGTTTAGAAGGTATGATGGTTAATTTTATGTAGCACCTGCAACAGGTCCAGGCTGCTGTGCAAGCTGCTCTGCTGTTTGGGCCACACGATCCCAGAAGGTTATATTGATATTATAAGACACTATTTCCTGGGTGCTGTGGCAGGTGAGGTCAGAACATGAGGCACAGATATGCACAATGGAGAGAACTTGGCTGGTTTGGGATGGTTCAAATACAACAGTAAACACTTGCTTACTTACTCTTATTTTTATGAAATGCTTCTCTCTTGCATACATACAGACAGAGATTTTATTGATGAGAAAGCTGATATCTGACAGTTACCTTCCTCATTTAAAACCCCAGTATGAGACTTCTCTCCCCACTCACAAGACCTAAAAAGGCCTCCTTCTGCCCTGTTCATCATTGGGCCTGGAGGAGCAAAGAAGAACAAACATTCCCTTCAGGACAGCTCAGTCCTAAAGAAGAGAAGATGCTGGGCTACTCATGGGCTGTTACTCTTTCCAAACTCAGATGTCGAGAGAGGAGCCAGGATGTTTACATTTATGGAGCTCCCTCCACACAGGAGGAGACGACAGGGGTGGGAAGACACATTCCACCCTACTATAAGTTAGTGAAGATTTCAAGAGCTAATGTAGGTGAAACACTTAGGGCCTGGTCCAGAGTCAGTACTTGATCAATGCAAGCTCTTTTAATTAGACATCCACAGACTTATTTCTGGTTCCAGCTCCTCCATTAACTGTATGATTCAAGGCAAGAAACCACATCTGTTTGGTTCACTGCTGAATGCCCAGAAGCAAGACTGGTGCCTTGAATAGCACCTGTAATACTAATAATAATTATTATTTTTTAAAATAAATTATCCTCTCTAAATTTGTTTCCTCACCCATAAAATGAGGAATTTGGTGTCTTGATGCCATTTAGATTTCTTCTTTGCTCTATTGATATACTTCTATAATAGGGAGTTGAAGCAAATCTCATACACAGTTTTTTTGTTTTTTTTTTTTAAAGATGAAAGGGTTTTCTGCCAGCATTGGCATCTAGTCTTTGCATATTGAATTCCAATATTCTGAAAGGGCAATTCACTTAGAATAGCAACATATGTATAATTCTCTAATAATGTTAGGGTTAATTAATTTTGCTCTATCCCCCAAATATCCCAGTCAATAGTGCCAGCATTTTCTTTTATTCTTTATAATTTTTCAAAAAACTTTCATTTGGGGGTGATAAAAAGCTTAACTCTATTAGTAAAATGTCTACAGCTATGCTACTATAAGTTCTTCTCACTTTAAAAGTTTAGGATTTTATGGAACAAATCCAATGTTGCCAAGCGTATAGAAAATTGTTTTAGAAAATAGTCTCCTCCTTGCCCTCTGAGCCAAAACCAAAACCATCCTCCAATTGTTACCGTATTAGAGATGAGAAAATAGGCTCGGGTAGTAATATGACTGGGGCACAAAGCCAATAAACGGCTGTACCTTGTTCTGAGCTTTATAAGGTGTCTTTGTATCTTATTACTATCTTATCAAGCAGTTGATACTTACAATCATGTGCCCCATTTTCCACTACACAGCTGGAGAGTTAACATGCTCCAGAAGAGAACATGCACAGAACATAGTAGAATTCTGAAATTTTCCATTAGAAAATATAAAACTCCTTACTTACATTTGCACAGATTTGCCAACAAAGACAAATATAATCAGTCTAAAGTGGACAGCCTCAAAAGGCACAGTGAAAAATACCACAGTAGGTGAATGAATTCAGCAATTCCAAACACAAATGTTCTTTAAGACTCAGATCTCCTTTATGCCCTGCTGTTTAGTTTGGAGTCTAAAAGACTATCTATCTACTTTGTGTCTGACTTATTTTCCTGTCAGACAGGAACTGGAATTTGAACTTTGCTCTCCAAAAGCCAAAGGCCAACTAATTTAGAAGGAGACTCTCAAAATCAGTGATGGTTTTTTCTAGTTTCATTAGTTCTGTCTAAAGTGATTAAAGGATTTGATTCCCAGATAACCATGATCCTTACTGCTATTTTTACAAATCACATTAATTTCTATACTTAATTCTGATCACTTGTGGCATTCCTGAGGCAAGTCTGGATTCATGCAGCATTCCAACCTTGAGTGCCTTTTCAAGTTTCCAACAGAATCCTGTGCTGGTGAGTGATGATACCTTTATTGTACTAGCCCCAAGGTGTGGAAGTTGTTTCCTGTGGCCTAGACTCAGCCCAACCCCTCCACTTGTTGAAACATCTGCAAATATTTTGTTCATTTCAGAGGCATCTGACCACAGCTAGCCTCCCATCCGCATTGCTTCCTTTTTCCTGATTGCTCACGTAAGGCATCAATAATCTGGGAAGGCACTCAGCAAGAGAGAAACTGGGAGGGCCTAGGGATTAGAGTGAAGTGCTTGGAGGATAGTTCTTATGGGTTTTCTCTCATACTCATTCATTAATTGATTCATTCAATCATCACCATTTATTGGGTGGTACTAGGGCGATGCAAATATCAACAACAAGCAGTCTCTGTCATCGAACAGGAGACAATCTATTGTGTGCTACATTTATTGTCTCAAGTAGGGAATTATATTAATCAGCTTATAATAATAAACTATATCTACCAGGTGTCTTCTATCTGTAAAGTTCCACAATTGCTTTAATTCTTATCTTTGGTAGGCATAAGGTTTATAGAATCTTTCATCTGTTTCTCCACTTTGAAACTACATAAAACGGAAAGCAATACTCTCTAAAGGATTTTGTAGATAATGATCGTTAATTAATTTAAGAAATACCATAGGAATCTTTACTTGATAAGTGAAATGATAAATTGTGTAGTGCTGAGTAAACACATTCCTTCGTATGTTGCATTTGCTTTAGTCCTATATGTTAAACTACAAAACTATCTGCTTAACTATTATTGGAAAGGGACTATATTTTAAAAGATGCTAATGCAGTTGGATCATTTTTATGCATATTAATTCCATGTTTTAAAAATATATCTATCTTATGCACACATTTGCACGTTTTATTAAGTTTATTATAATCAAATCATACAAAGATCTAATTAACCCATCCCCTGAGTTGTTGAGCAATAATTATACCTTCAGAGAACCAGGAGATTTAAGGTGTATACAGGGTGGGGCCCATCCACCCAGGATTTCAAAACCACATGGTTCTTCAGGTCCTGTTGGGGCTTATCTATTTGCACGTCTCCCCTGCAGGAGTTTGGACTAATCAGGTCACTACATCTTGACTGCAGTCTCTACCACTCATTGTCTGCAACATGAATTAACATCAACAGGCCACAGAGAAGTTAGCAATGGGAAAAGGAAAAGGCTTTAATACCAAGGTTGTCCCCAGGGTTCAGCAGGACATATATCTTCTATCAAGTCATCTGACATCAAATCCTACAAATAAGGGCAACCAAAAGGTTGAGCCATGTTGTCTGATGGTATCGTGTTCTCCGGTTGCAATGCAGTACTGAGCAACCTGTTGTGGGTTGACAGGTCTTCCAGTTTGCTAAAACGGAAAAGGCAGGTTGTTGCTCCAGCATTGTTTCACTTTTGCTGCAGAACATTCACACAGCATCATGCCTTGGCTAGTCTTCATTGATCTAGATTTTTTAAAAAATAAATTTATTTTTGATTGCGTTCGGTCTTCGTTGCTGCACGTGGGCTTTCTCTAGTTGTGGTGAGTGGCGGCTACTCTTCGTTGCGGTGCGTGGGTTTCTCATTGTGGTGGCTTCTCTTCTTGTGCAGCACGGACTCTAGATGCGCGGGCTTCAGTAGTCGTGGCTCTTGGGCTTAGTTGCTCTGCGGCATGTGGGATCCCGGACCAGGGCTCGAACCTGTGTCCCCTGCATTGGCAGGCGGATTCTTAACCACTGCGCCACCAGGGAAGTCCCCATCGATCTAGATATTAATTGGACATCCTGGAAGCTGACGGGCTGGTTCATTTCTCCTTCAGCCTTGGCTTCTCCCCATCCCCCAGTGCTCCCTGTCTTGCGACTCATAACAGAGCAGTGCTATTAAATACAGTATGAAAATACACGTCAAGGGGCAGATGGGAGCTAGGTGCCTGAGAACTCTGAAGAACAAAGAGAGCCCCTGTGCCCTATGGTGCTTTGTTCAAATTTTTAAGAAGGCACCCCTTCCTCAGGTGGATGGTATGTATCTTAGGAGGTGAAGCTAGGGGCTGGAGTTCAAAGCCTCTCCACCTCCTCTGCCAGGCACCATTATGCAGTCAACAAACCGCACAAGTGTATGGCGGCTGGGCAGAAAAGGTATGCAGAGCCTTACAATGATAGCAGAGGACATTAAGAAAGATGTGGGCAACTTTGAAATGAAGAATAATGGAAAACAGGCAGTACTGAGTGATTTCGTCTTACGATTTTCTAAATAGAAGAGGCTGATTAAGCATGGTATCTGCCTTCTGATTCAAGTTAAAACCACTTACCACTCTGTAGTGACTTCCTTTCCCTCTCAGATCTCTTCTAACAGCTGAGATGACGAGCTAATTTTACATTTACACAAGGATGTACGTACTGTGTTACTATTCCTAAGGTGGTTTGCATTTAAATAGAGGCAAAAACATTTAAACATTAAGTAATCAATCAGTTTTGTCTGTTTCCTGCTCTATCCCCAACATCTATAACAATGCCTGGCACACAGTAGGTCCCTTAATATGTTGATTAAGTAAATCTCTAATCCTAGACTTTCAGTCACTGAGCATCAGGAAAATACACCAAGATGGTCTCTTGCTTTCAAGATTCCACAGATCAAATTAGAAAGTCATCAAAAATAAGTTTTCTTCTAGGCACTTCATAGGCCAGAGGTCTCAGCTCTCTTATAAAATACCAACACCACAAATACTACTCAAATATCAATTATTTAAAACTTCCATTGCAGGGAATTCCCTGGTGGTCCAGTGATTAGGACTCTGTGCTTTCACTGCTGAGGGCCCGGCTTCTATCCCTGGTCTGGGAACTAGGATCCCGCAAGCTACTCGGTGCGGCCAAAAATAAATAAATAAACATCAAACTTCCATTGCACATCATGAGCTTTTTGTCAACTGACAATAAAACGTCTATAAACCAAATAGATTACGTAAGGATGCAGCCTCCCACACTGTAGTTCAGTACTTGATAGACAAAGTACAAACAAACAAAAATTGGTGGCACAGTTGTATTTAAATATTATTTTATACTTTTCTAATTTTATATATGGGCCGTCATAATTGCAGTGTATTACTTATAATATTTGAATGTATCACCTTCCTCCAAAGATCTCAAAGCACCTTTGGTGAGTAAGGAATAGTCCTCCCCACACCTCTGAAGTAGGTATGCTGTAAGCATTATTTCCATCATACCAGGATCCCACATGAGTCAGTGGCAGGGCTGCATTACTCAAGACATTTTAGTTCACAGCTCTAACCATCAGAGGACTGCCTACACATTCATTCATTCACTCATTTTTTACTTCATTCAAAACATTCATTTGATGCAGTTTGCTAGGCACTTAGGTTCAAGTCCCTATTTCCTTACTGAACTTGCATCATACGAACAATCTGTTAAAAATTTTTTTCTCATAACAAATATTTAAAATTCAGAGCAGAGATTTTTCTGCATTTTGTGATTAATTCTATTTGTTTCATAGTGGCATACCTAGCAGTGAGTCACATGTATACTAAGGAAATGACTGAAATACAAAAAAATTTAAAGATGTATCTCTCTTATGTTATGGATGTCAAGCATGTGTCTATAACATAAAGCTTTTTTATTTTTATGTTTGCCTGGTGAGCTAAATACTCGCGCTTTCTGTGTCTAATTATAAGTTTCTGCTGTGTGTTATAGCTGAGTTGGTGCAAGATGTTCAAGACCATGAAAGGATGAATGTAATGGCTTCCTCGTGTCATGGTCAATTTTTTTTTTTCAGTTCATTTGTCCTTTTAAGTAATCATACTGTTTGTACCCTGACTCTCGTACTGAATTCACAATTATCCCTCTTGCCAAACCATGCCTCCTGACTTGACTGTGTAGACTGAATTTCATGCAAGCATATGCAAACCCTGTGCACCGCCTGTCGAACGAAGTAATATAAGCAAATTAAAGGCACATTTTAACGACTTTTGAGTTCCGTGTTTGAGTGGTTTTTAGACAGTTACCTACTGGGCAAAGTATAAGACACCGATTCACAGAGGTCATCATCAGTGTGCGCCTCCCAAACGGGTTTGCTCATGGAATCCACCCGTAACTGTGCACGTCGCATTTTCTGGCCCCTGGAAGGGGCTGATTCACCCCCAGCTCCCTCTGCCAGAGCCGGCGCGTCCAAGCCGCCGGGTCAGGGCCGGCGCGCCGCAGAGGCCGGGGTGCGTGACAGGCTGCACTTCCCAGCCCTGACGCTGTGGTAACTGACTAAGCTCATCGCCGCTCGTCACGACACGCGCAGGCTCGGCGGCACGCGGCATAGCGTGAGAGGCGCCGGGGCCGCCGGCGCGCCCACCCCGAAGCCTTCGTGCAGACGCGCCTCGCCGCTCCTTGGAGACCCAGACTGCCTGTCACCATGCCGCCGTTCTCAGGCTGCAGAAAGACGGCCTCCGGACGTCAACAAATAACCTGACCTCCCAGGCGGTGGCCTTCGTTCTTTTCAGCCTCGACCCTGTCCCTCACCGCCCCCTGACGCACAGCTGCCAACCCCCTCGGCGTGGGAAAGTACCGGGTCAACGTGGTCAGTCGCCCGGCAACGCCACTCGCCTCACGTGCGCCCCGGGTTCCCGGCAGGCAGGGCTGCGGTGGGGCGCTGGGGGGGAGGGCGCGCGACCCCGTTCCCGGGCGTCCCTGTCCCGGGGCGCAACATCGGTGGGGCGCGAAGCTGCTGTGGCTCGCGACCGAGCTCCCGGGCAAGGCAGGCAGCAAACAAGCGCCGGGGCAGCTCAGGAAGCCGACAGGTGTCCGCGGGGCGAGACCGATTCCTCGCCTGCGTTCCCCTTCGCCCTCGTCCCGCCGCCCGTGCTGTTTGCTTTACAGCAGCGGAGTTGGGCACTTTTCGGCCTTAAAATGAGCGTATCAGCCGGTTGGGCTCAAGTCGGCGGCGGGGGCCGGGCGGAACCGGATTCTTCGCGGGCTTAGGCGGGCCGGGTCGGCACGCGAGGCGGGCACTTAGCTGGCCAGGAAGCCCGGGTGCGCGCGGAAGCGGCGAGCGCAAACCGCCGGGGGCGGGGCCGCGGGGTTGCGTGACCCTCCGCCCGGCAGCTGCACGCACTTCGTGCCCCGGTCCGCCCTCCTAGCCTCGCCGGCAGCCTCGCCATCGCGAGGCAGTAGCACAGGTGCAGGAGGGCGGCGCCCAGTTTCCATTTTTATAACCGCAGCCGGGAGAGGAGTCACGCTATACTTCTGGGACGGGGAGTGAGTTCACCGGAGAGGACACGGCGTCTCCTTGTTATCGGAACCTGGGTAACATTTGGTAATAAAACCCGCTCAGACAGGATGTATTAAACGAACTGGGAACCAGAGCTGCTCTATCAATAAGCAGTCGTTCCGGGGAAACTTTCCAACGAAAGCTTTACATTAAGAGTCAGGGCACACAGGTGCGGTTCGTGTGACATGCTATCACAGGAAGGAATCAGAGCAAGGACGGTGGCTTTGGGACGCAAATTTTGTGCACTCTGCGCAAGAATTAGTAACAGAGTTGTGATGCTGTGCAAACTGTCATTCCTCCTAGAAGCGTTCTTGCCAGTGTTTTATTTTAAAAGAAGAGGAGCCTGATTTTAATGACGTAGTAACTGGAGAGCCCTCTATTACATGTTGACTCGAGAGTCCCAAGGACATTTAAAAGGAAAAAAAGTGACTTCACAGGACGCCATAATCCAAGTTCCTTCTCAAGATCATGTGCGGGAAAAATGTTTTTTTCACTCAGATATCTGTTTATATAATTCAAATATTTGTTGATTTGTAGATAAATCAAGTTTGGAGAGAAAAACAAAAATATTAACACCAAGACAGTTTAACACACAAGACCACTCCAGTCGTCTAAGCTCTCAAAATTCCACATTAACTGATTTATTTAAAGTTTGATTTGGTGGATCTATGCATTTATTTATTTCCCTATTATTACCCTTGGGCCTGTGGTGCCTAGTTACACACACACTTGTTACACAAGTAACACACCATTATATAAGAGGGGTTTCTCCGGGGTTAGGATACCTATCATAAACTCCCAGAAAGCTCTTTCAGAAGACACATGTTCACCTCTCAATTTACCACATGTGGAAAGATAGCAAGATTCGCTGTTTAATTTTAAAATGTTCTCCCAGCTAACTCAGATTCTCACTTGTGTATGTAGGAACGTTTATTTTATCTGCCTAGCACTCTTCCTGTCTTCTGGGACAGAACTGCCCCTTCTCGGATTCTGCTTCTGCCTTACTCTTCTAGACATGTAATTAGAAAGGGAGGTGTCATCATGTGTGGCCTTGCCTCCCTGGTCACCACAATTGGTCAGGAGGCAGGTACATGTCTCCTCCTGGCTTCAGTGATTTGGTCAAGGAATCGGTGCGTAACTCAAGGTGTGCTAAACAGTCATTTCCTGGCATTTTTCTAACTGGAGGTTGGGAATAGAAGCCCCTTTTCCTCTTGGTGTCAAAACTGGACTGTCAGCCACCACTGCCCTGCCACATGCAGACACTGTAAAAGAGAAAGGAACCAACTTTCAGTAAGTGGTAGATTCAAAGGGCTGAGACTTTCCATGACTTCTTAGAGTTCCAGAGTTCTCAAAGCAGTCCTGTTTCCTGCTTTCTTGAAGCTTGGTTATTTAGCTCTTCTGTTGATTCTGTGAGGTACCTTGACATTCTAACAGAATATACATTGATAGTAATAATTAACAAAATGTATATTTAGAATGCTGTGTGGAATACGTTTTAAAAATTTATAACACTATTTGTAACTTGCTTTTTTTTCATAGAAAAGAAGAATAGAATTCACTGGGACATTCATCACCAATAAACTACATCATCATTTTAAACAGCTTCACAATCTTCTTGTTTGATAAGTCAATTTATTTCATTTTGGTATTTCAGATTTTTAAACATTATAAACAAGACTGTGATGAACACTAAATATATGTGCTAATAACAAAGAACTCTCCCAGAAGCTTCCAGCAGCCTTCTCTTGGAGAACTGGGTCATAGGCCCATTCCTGATTTAAATAACTGGTAAAGGGGAAGTGGCCAGTAGAATTGACCTAATCTGAGCTCATTCCTGGAGTTGGGCTGATTCACGTGTGCTTAGGGGTGGAGGGAGGGGAGGGGAGGGTGATGAGGTCTGGATTCCTGAACAAAAGGAAGAAGGGGGAATCAGGTGTCCACTATAATAGTTTTGAACATTTCAAGGTGTTTAAAACATAATGTATTAAAATACATTAATTTTTTCACCCTAAAAGCAGTGTTTAAGAGTGCTAGTTGCTCTACACCATTGCAAACCAGGGCTACTATCATTACTTTAATCTTTTTTCACCTGTTTGATAGGGAATTCCCTGATGGTCCAGTGGTTAGGACTCTGCGCTTCCACTGCACGGGGCACAGGTTCCGGGAACTAAGATCCTGCATGGTGCAGCCAAAAAAAAAAAAAAAAAAATCAAATGTTTGATAGGTCTGATAATAATGTTTGATTTTAGTTCATAAGAAAATCTCTTTAAGATGATTCACAACTCCTTATTTAATGGTATTAAAATATTCTATTAATAGAGATATAACAAAATGACAGGAAAATTGCCCTAATTCGATTCTTATAAATTCCATAGCTACCTAAAATTATAGGTGCAGAATCATGAACTTCATCTCTATAAAAGTAGAATGAAATCACTTCTGCCAGTCACGTATCAAACATGTTAGGCTCTTAGGTGCTTCATTAGAATCTTATGAAAATCTCAGAAACAAGTAATAATTTCATTAAACAAGCAAGTTCTTTAAAAAGTTGTTTTTTAAATGCATAAGGCAGTTGTCTATGTTCGGTCTTTGAATTCATTAACATTTGTTATAGGCTAGATATTGGATGCTAAGGTTTAAAGAACTATCAGTGCCATATTTTTGAGCATCAAATGCATTACAAGAGTTTTAAGTCACTACCTTAGAGGTTTATTCTTTTTGTGTTTTTAAATATATTCATGAAAATAAGTCCTAGGGATGTAATGTTCAGCATCGTGACTGTATTGTATATTTGAAAGATGCTAAGAGAGTAGATCTTAAAAGCTGTCATCACAAGAAAAAAAATTTGTATCTATGTGTGGTGATGGATGTTAACTAGACTTGTGATTATTTTACAATATAAACAAACATTGAATCATTCTTTTGGATACCTGGAACTAATATAATGTTATATGTCAGTTATATCTCAATTAAAAATAAACATATTCGTTTGACAAATATTAAACTATATTTGGCACGCAGTACATTTTTGGGTAAAGCTCTTACCAATAGTGAACAGGCCACAAAAGAATACATTTATGATCATCAAAAGTTTCACTGTTGAGCTTGACTTTTAATATTTGAAAGTAGATGTTTTATTGCTTTAAGGTCTAACTTGTCTCATTGGAAATTTTGTTCAATAATCATATTCTTAGGGCTAAAAAGAGTTCAGTACACAATTTATTTCTGCACAGATGACAAAACATTTGAACTCCTAGAGAGAAGCTCTATTTAAACATTGTGACCTTCATTTTATTAGGTACTCTAGTTTACACTGCACATGTGATGGATTCAAAAATATACAGAGTCTAAACCCACAAATAGTATTTTGTGTTCAAGCCACCTCTAGACCAGAGTTATTTGGGGTTCAAAATAGACAAAGCAGTTTTACAAAGGAGTCTAACTATTGATTAGCAGTTTAAAAAAAACAGAAGAGAAAATCCTATCCACATTTTGGTGGGAATAAAATGTGGTAAGTACAAAAAGCAGGTGGTCACTTGTAGCTTTTTCTTTTTTTAATGAAGCTGTATGGGAAAAGTTATGAAAAAAGTAAGTATAACACAAAGTTACATTTCCAGAATTAAATACTTCTTGGGTATTTACATGTGACATCCATAGCAGGCTGAGGTCCCGTGGATACTGGCTGGCTGGTAGAGTCAGCTAACCCAATACAGGAGTCCCAGGTGCTTCTGCTTACACTCATATTCGGTCCAAGTATACTTTAGCGCTCAAGTGTTGGGTCATGCCCTTGGCCACTTCCATCATTTGAGTGAGAGTAAACAATAAATAGGATCTGGCTGAGTTATGTTTGGAAAGATTTCTCCATAAATGAGACATTGTGTATGAAATGCCAGGAAAGAGCCCAGTAAATGTTAGCTTTTAAAAAATTCTGCACTTGCATTGGATGGAACCCAGAAATAGCAGTGAAAAGCCATTGTTGCTTCCAATCTGGGAAGCCCGTCTGCAACGATTTTTTTCAAACTCTTGAGGATCTCAGTGTTGTGTTGTACTGTGTTCTGATTCACAGGATAACAAAAAAGTTGGGCTAACTGTAATTTTGTCATGCTCCCTTTGTACAGTTTTGAGCTCACTTTAAAATAAGCAATCTTGGGTAGACTTCCTGGTCTTTGTATCAGACTTGCAGACAAAGTACCTATTCTCCCAAATGCTTTTCATGTGGGCACAGGGAGAGGAGAGGAGGGGGCATAATATTACTTACCAGAATGAATGGGATGAATGACAATGCCTTGCTGGATAAATATCTTAGGTAAATTCAAATTCATAACAGAAGCATAGACACTGTGTTCTCACAAATGTTAATGCTGCAACACAAAGGTGTGCGGACCATGTGGAAAGCCCTAGTTTATCACTTTACAGAGACTCTACTTCCAAAACTAGGGAGTATTTTTTTTTTCCCCCGCTCTCAGGGGTCATTGACCCACAGGAGAAAAATAATAATAAAGGGTCACAGAAGGGGTTAAAAGGAACTCAATTTGGTTCTCACTGATTATTTTTAAAATATTTTTAAAAGTCACAATAAAAAGTGAAACTTACCTAGTTTAAAATTTAAGAAGAGGATAAAACAAAACTTTATTCAGTATGTCCAATGATGGAAATGCTTTAAATTCTGCTTCAGTTCCAGTATGGCCCGTAATGGGGTGGGGAAAAGGACTGGAAAAACAAAAGGGACAAGGATAAAAAACCTGGAGAGGTAAAGGGAGAGACTGAGACCAAGAAAGAGTCAAGAAAAAACACACACCAACAATGGGAAGAGGCTTTTTGGATTACTTTTTTTTTTTTTTTTAACTTTTTAAAAAACCTGTTTTGTAAAACCCTGTTACAACTCTTCATCTTTTTTTTTTTTTCCTTCCAGGCAAGGCTTTGCGGGGAATCCTGCTGTAGCACTAGGGAGCGAAAACAACAGGTTCTCTTGCTTGCTCCCTGCAGGGGTGGGGTGGAGGGGGTGTGGGGGGCGAGCTGGTTCCTTATATGGAGTGAGGGTAGGGGTGGGTCTGTGGTGTTCAGGAATACAACTTTTCACTGCTACTCTTTTAACAAGGTCTGTTCTTCACAATTTATCCACTCTGTTTATCCTGTAAATTCTTACTGGGTCTACCAGTGTTCAGCAGAACTTTCTTTGATGATGAAAATGTTCTATATATGTGCTGTCTCATGTGGTAGTAACATGTGCCTACTGAGGACTTGAAATGTGGCCAGTGCAATAAAGGAATGGAATTTGAAATTTTATTTCATTTTAACCAAATTAAGTAGTCACATGTGCCTATCTTATTGGACAGTGTGAAGGTCTAAGGGACATTTACAGTGGAAGGAAAATCGGTCTCAATGTCACTGTACAGATGAATAAGCACAGGTGAAATGAGACCACACAATGAATTACAGCCTTGCAGCTGGATCTTCTCCCATCCTTAAAGTGTTTCCTTATCATATATACAAAGTACTCAATAAATATTATTAATGCTAATAATCATACAATAGCCAAACTAGCCTCAGAAGAGTGATCTTGCTTTAGGTGTGCAATTTCTGTTCTAGATAAAGCACTCCATGGATCTGGATGCTAAACCCCCTAACCTAAACCCCCATTGTTACAAAATGAGAACAATCCTACTTCATTGTCCCTCCAAGAAACATGCTGAGGATGAACAGCTCTGAAAGTTCTTTGCATTTCTCATAAACATGCTGTACTTGACCACTTCTTTGGCTGTCCTCTGCTTCCCTTAACCCTCTCTTCCATCCTCTAATTATTGCTTATCTTTTCCAAATGAAGAAAGATACTCTCTTTTAGGGAGTGGAAACAGAAAGTCACTGGTAGACGTTGGGGCAAAAATATCAATCAGGTTAAGTGTATTTTGTATTTTCTTTGTATTTACTCAACCTTATTTCATTCAATAGTAGTAAGTCTCTTACCCGCCTAGCAAGCTGCGAATGTTCTATTTCTTGGAAGGGCTGCATTTCGGACCTCATAAAATCCTCAGAGGAGAGATCTGGACTATGAACGAGTTCCCTGCATGGATTCAGTCACTGAGCATCACCCCAGCCTGGTATGCAGTTGCTTATTACGTAGTAGGTCATCCATAAACACTTTCTTTTGAACGAAGAAAGGAAAGTAAGTCACGTGTAAGGGTGGGCAGCCTTCTATAAATTGTGGACTAGCGGGTCTCAAGATATCTTTTGAACTAAGACTTTCATCTTGACTACTTTTGGACTAGTATGAAAATTTTACCAACACCTTCCCAATTAACTTGCCCTCCCTGCAATGACTGAGACCAGAGCTTCCCTTTACACCCATGACCTCTACAGGCATCTCTCTTCTTTCCGCTCGAGAACAATAATTGCTGCGTCAGCCACAAGGACTCTGGGGCCTGACGTGAGAGGTAGGCGGACTTTGGCCTCCACCTCAGCCAGCGTCTCTCCAACCCGCCGCACAGCTGGGAACGTCTCCCTCCCCCACTCCAGCCCGCCCTCCCCCCCCTGCCTCGCCCTTCTCACCCATTGCTTCCCTCTCACAGCCCCCAGCGTAAACCCAGCCCTTTCTCCGAGCCCCGCCGCGAGATTTCCCGCCTCCGCGCAGCACTTGGGAGCCCGGGCGGCGCCCGGGAGTCCCACTTCTGCGTTGGGGAGCGGCGTGGGCGTGACGTCATCGCGCCCTGACGTCAGGCCGACGTACAGCACTGTGTCCTGGGAGACCGGGAAAGCCGTTTCGCACCCGGCAGAATTGAAGTCTAGGTGAGAGACAATGGAAGGTTTCTTTGAGCCCTGGGATGACCCGGTCCCCGGGCGCAGTTCCGGAGCGGAGGCGTGCTGGTCCCCGGGGAGAGGGCCGGAAAGCCGAGCCGTGGTCTCGCGCCTAGTGGATGGGCCCGGCGCCTAGCCTCTGACCCCAGCTGCAGCCCCTGTAGTGTCTCCGCAAGCCCGCCGGGCCCGACGCCCTCTTCTCCCCGCGAGTGCGCGGCTCGGCTTCACCCCGCACCCTCCTCCTCCTCCTTCTCCTCTTCCTGCCACCGCAGGTCCCGATGGAACGGGGTTAGAAAGGGACAGATTTCAAAACCCTTGCAGCCGTTTTGGCTGGACTTGCAGTTGGTTTCTGTTTGGAAAATCCCGCCTCTTTAGAAAAGTCTTAGGACGTGAACTTCCGCTTCACCTGACCCTGACCTACTCATCTGTGGGTGATTCACACCAAGGGAATAGTTCTTTAGGGAAGGGCCTGAGAGCTGAACGTGAGTTAATGGCCCAACGTGACACTGGTGTCAGGAAGGGAATCGGAAGTGAGCAGTCGGGGACGTGTCTGTATTTTTGACATCTGCCTCGTGATCCTGTCAGAGAGGTGGTTCACAAATACCTACGCGGCTGATGCTGGTTATCACCTCACCTCCTGTATAAGGGCAGTCTACAAAGTGTGTAATGTGAGAGAATAAAAGGGTCTCTTTTGATAAAAAATGTAAAACAATGCAAGAGCAAATTAAAAATTAAAAAATTTCCCTCTTGCCTAAAGGGAAAGAGACCTCTTGCCTCCCTTTCTTGGGAAACCTCTTATTTGTGAGGGCTTCCTCTATTCCTTTAATATGTATGCACATATTTTAAAGACCCAGAATGTTCTTCTGGAGCACCTGGGAGCCATTTCTTTAAAATGTAAACATCAAGGAAGATAAGGCCCCTATCTCCATATTACCTTGAGAGTTTCGTACTTCTAGTAACCACCTGCTTTGTCATAGAGATATGTATTCCTTAGAACAAACGCTCTTAGCTAGCACAGGTGGCTACTTCAATTACCAGTTGAATTGAAAACAAACTATGAAAGAGAGTACAGCAAGCTGTGTTGAGGACAAGTTATCATTTATCTTGAGAACATTGTATGTAATGGAGTGTATCCGTTTGGCTGTATTAAAGAGTGGGATTTCCTTCTGTCTTTGTAATCTCATTAGCAGATTAGCTGTGCTGTGCATCACAGTCTAGTTAAATGCTTATTCAGTAATAAAATTGTTTTCTCTCTGCATCATGGAGAGATTTTCTGGATTGGCAGGATATTTTGTTTTTAATTTTTCCTCAATAATCAGACCTACCAATTTTTCCCACTCGGTATAATAAGGCCACAAAATTGGAATAGATTTAGAATAATGATACTGTTCCACTATACCTTGTTTATAGTGTCTCTAGATCCATGCTCTCAAATGAATTTATGCGTGAAATTTAAAAATGAGATTTAGTTGGTAATTTTAGGAAAAATTCTGCTCCCAGTAGAGTTTAATTAAGATGATGCCATCTTATTTTACTGATGGTGAGCCCATTGTAAAATGGCAGAAATGAGAATAATGAGCTTTCTGTGAGGAATGAGCTCTTGCCACATCACCATGACAGTCTGCCAAACATCAGATGATTATGTACTTGGCCATGTGGGCCTATGTTAACTACATCAGTTAACTTTACCCCCCATCCCCGCACGCAGAAACACATTATGTTGATGTCAGAAGACAGCCCATTAGCTATTTGTTTTAAACAGCAGCTCGTTAAAATGTGGAGCTCTGTGCTACCACAGGGGATGGGAAATCCTCTCTTCCACCAATACTCGCACAATTAAAAAAAATACTGCCTCTACAGGAATTTTTGTCAACTACGATTTTCCTGGCACCTTGCTATGTTGCTGGGGTTACTGTCTCTGATAGAGTACTATGCCTCTTCAGTCTCTCTTTGTCAAAATCTTGTCCTGATCAAAAGTAAACCACCTCAGGTAGCCTTCACTAATTCCCTACTCCCATGAGAAAGATAAGACATTTTTTTTCCTGAACTTCTAGATTTGTTCCTTGTCTACAACTCCTGGCCCTCAGGCCTTCTTTCCTGCTATGGAATTGTGCCTGTATCATCTTACTCTGCTGTCCCCCTTCACTACTCCTCTGTCTCTCTCTCTCTCTCTTTCTATATATACATATCTCTCACTCCTGAAACTGGACTGTCTATTCTTTCTCCACATTTGGGAAGGATTTTAAAAAAAGAACCCAAAGTGCCCCTTCATTCATCTTGCGTGGTTTTATGAAAGTAGTGATAGAGTTTTGTATTGAATTGTTTCATTAGAAAATGAAAATCTATTAAAAGTAAAACATCTGCATAAAAATTATGTAAATGTCCATCTGTGGTAAAATTGGCACTTGGCTTCTCATGCTTTGATGACTCTTCTGTTCAGTGCCTGCATATCATACTTAACCTGATAACTCTAAATATCTTTTTCTGCACTTCATCATTTAAACCAGCATTCATGTCACAATTGCTTTTCTTATCTGCTGAACTAAAATACTCTATTTAGATATTTTTTCTAGCAGCTTTTCAGAAAAAACCACTTTCTTTTAAATGAAATAAATCGATCCGTTTAAAAGTTTGTTATCCTTATTCTGTATTTGCAAAGCAAATAACTAGTAGTAAACCACCACAGAAGTTACAATTAGACTATAAAGTTCCAAAGAGAGAAAGTATTATTTCTAATTCAGTACTCTCTCTCGAGGTCTTTCCTGTTCTATTGGCCTCATAACTAACTGAAAAAAACCCATTTGTACCTTTTAACTTTGAGTTGATGAAACAAACATCTGTTGAAACAGTTATCACCATTGATCCCCAAATACTCCTAGGAATTTATTTCTTTTAATTTGAATTTTCTTCACATTGTTTTAATTCTGACTATCACCATCAATGTTTTTAGATTATTTTACTTCAGAGCTCCCTCAGTATATCTTGAGAAATTATGGATCGTCACATTCCCATGCATGCATTACCTGAAGAAATCCAAAAGGTATGATATTATGTTATTACAGCACAACATTAGGAGCATTTTAACAGATAATTCTAAAACATGGGAGAATGAATTCAGAGGTTTTATATTTATTTTAGTCAGAGGATCTGCAGTGAATTGGTGGGGTAAGGAAGGGAATAATTGTAATGGTCAAAACTGTAGAATTCAATTCAGTGCAAAGAATGTTCAGCCTGTGAAAGAAGAGATATATAATTCTGGCATGGTATTTGACCAGGTGTTTGTGGACCTCTTGTGAAAAGAGGGCTCCAGCAATGGCCAAATACTATATTTAGATATTTTTCTAGCAGCTTTTCAGAAAACAAACAAAAACTAATTTAAAAAAAATCAACTGACATTAATGGGTCTGTTTAAAATTTTAAGTGATATTTATTCTATATTTGCAAAACAAATAATTAGTAGTAAACCACTACAGAAATTATAATTAGTTTGTAACTTTTTATGATGCAAAAATTTTAAGTGTGTCTCTCTATAAGGGTCTATTTCAGTTTCACCTTAATTCTTATTTTACCGTGTTTTAAGGCCTTACATATATATCAACTCATTTAATCTGGTTAACAATCAATTCTTTTTCACCGTTGCTATGCTACTTTCCTCCCCGTTAATTTATAGCTGTCCTCAGGCAAAAGCATTTCTCCCATGTTTAGTTTGGCAATGCATACATTGCTAACAGCATAATTAAAAATATATCTCTTTGAAACTGATTGACAAATTATGAATTAAAACCTCAAACCTTAACTGTCATTAATCATTCAGTTTTTAAAGTAAATCTATAGTCAGCTCTTAATTAATCACCAGTCGTTAGTTTTTAATTAAAAATTGCAGTCAGCTCTCAGATATGCTTTTATCCTTTGTGCATGTTGTTTTGGGCTGCCTGTTAACATTAATCATGCCATTGATTTAACTTGATGCTTACTTCTACTGCATGTTCTTTAGATTTATGTAAATGGCAATCTAGCAGTAACTGGAAGGGAAGTCCAGTTACTAGATAAGACCTTTTAAACCATTGCATTTAATTTGCTTCACCTTTTAAGTATGAGAGAGTAAGCACAGAGGGAACTCAGCTCTGCTATGCCTACCTGAGAAATGGTGCCTAGATGTGTTTGAAGACATGGAGTGTCCTATCTCTCCCTCAACTCAGTTACTTCCGTGTACTAGCCTGTGTGGTAGAGATTAAAAGAAACAAAACAAAACAATCTGCAAGAAACAATACCCATACTCAGATACTAGTCATCTGTCAGGAAGCAGATATATAATGACATGAAAAAAAAAAAACCCTCTAAAAGATAGTGTTTGATTTAAATGTCACATAAGATAGTATCTTCTCTGAAAATGGAGAAGGTGGGGAGAGGAATCCCTGAGTATTAGGATGGTCAAGGGAGGATCTTTATGCAGGAGATAGAACTGGAATTGGCCCCTGAAAGCTAAATATTTCTAGAGACAGACAGGGAATAGGGCATTCTGGGCCTAGAGAACAAAAGCTTACTGGTGAGGAGAAACTGGCCAGGTTACAGAATGTTTAACAACGTAAGTGTTTTAAATGCGTGAAAGAGTATGTATTTATTTTAACAGAGTTTTTATGACTTGAAGAATGCGTTTGTTTTTTTTTAATGTTTAAGTAAATTGTTTAAAAACGCTAAAACCAAGCATTTTATAAATATGGTTATATTCTTAAAGCTTGAATGGCAGGCAGCTGTCCATATAGTGCAGAGAGGTGAGGAGGCCAGGAGCAGCTCAGTTGCCTAAGGTCCTGGACAAGTGAGCTGATAGTAGCCCTTGGCCTGCTAAATGTTTAGAGTATAAAGTGCAGCTTTGCACTTTTTCAGACCTAAGTTAGATACACTTGTACAACAAATATTTATCAGGTGCCTATAATGTGCCAGACACTGTTTTGTGTACTTGATGATAAAGCAACCAAAAATATGTACATGCATCCCACAGCCTATTAAAGCTAAGTCTGAGCATGTCAGTTACTTGTTTTCCATAACTTCTTACCTATATTTGATTCCTCTAGATTGTCCGTAATATAACTGGTTAAATTGTCTAGTGATCAGCCAGTATATCTATTTAGTCAGCTTGCATACATCATTCTATACACAATCATGTTAGATAGATATATAGCTTATAATAGTAATAGGAGTACTTCAGATTACAACCATTTCATTATTCAGATAAAACAAATCTTTGTGTTTCATAATGGCTTGGAAATTGTGCTACAGTTCTTTATTGGATAGAAAAAGACATGAGGTGGGTGGATCAGTGTACAGTGACAGAGAGGTCTTTCAAAGGCTTTTTTTTTCTTGTTCTTTTGTTAACTTTTTATGTTAGTTTTTATGCTGGCTATTCTTTCTAGAGAAGGCCCTGCTGTGTTTCCTTTTTTTCTGTGTGTAGTCAAGGAAGGTTAGTGTAGAAATCAAGGAAGGGAGGGGAAGGGGAGTCTTTCCTCTTTATTTCTTTCTGTACTTTTGCTGTATGATATGGAAATGGGATGGTTGATGAAATACATGAGATATGTGATAAAGGAAATGAAAATGGCTGTACTACACTGTACTACTAATAGTAAAATAGGTAGCAGTAGAAAGAGTTGCAAGAAAAAGTAAATGTGTGTGTGTGGGGCAGGGGGAGATGGCCACCAAAGGAAAAGTGTGGAGAAGAATGCTGATGATAATAAGCTCTAGTTAGAGAGTCCATTGCCTGATTAGAAAGCGAAGATTGTTAAATCATGCCCCCCACTCCCTGCCCAGTCTTATCTTAGGGAAGAAAGAATAAGATAATCTTTTGACTATCACTCCCTAATCTTTTTGCTTTTTATCACAATTTCTGATTGAGCATAAAACATGTTTCAGGTTCCCATTTCCCCAACTGGCAGAAAATGTAAAACAGGTCCATGGGCTGGATGGCAAGACCATACTTAATCCCCTTTGCTGCTAGACTCCACAGCTTACTTCTATATGTACTTAGATCATATCTGTAAATCTACTCTCTAGACGGAGCTGACTCCTACCTGTCTCTGACCTCCGATAAGCAGTAGCTTTGCTAGAATTTTCATCTAGCATTCTGAAAGCAGAATGTACCTGTAATGATAGTATAGTTCTGTGTTTGGGATTTTATTGCCACAGTTTAAAACTAAAACAACATTTATAGATCAGCAAAGTAATAATTCTATATCTCTTCGCCCTTGAATGTCCACCTATTTCAGAGACATATGGACTCCTCTTTTTAGAAAAAAAGCAATGAATAACTTTCTTTTTTGCTGTTTTTGCTAGAAGACATACACAGAAGTCAGAACAACCTCAACAAATCAGTGGAAAAATCACTTATTTTGCAAAAGTAGAACTGACCTCTTTTTTTTTTAAATGGTGACAAAATGAGCACTTGTAATAGGATTTTAGCTTCAGGAGATATTTATTACCACAGGACACAAAGTAAAATAAAGAGACCGGAGTTATTTATTTTACAAAACAGAAGTGGCAGTGCAAGGGCTGGAGAGCACACTGTTCTTTCTGGGATAACAATCCCTTTCCCTACCAGTAACAGCTCATTTTGTCCTGTTTCAGTAAAGTAATCTTAGTACTTTGGAACTTTGAAATTTATTCAGAATAACAGTTTTATATTTCCAAGCACAGATTGTCATTGCCAGAAAAAATAAACTTAATTTTCCAGGTCATTTTGGGCCACTGTGGCTAGGGACAGATTTTGTGTTCAGTTAAAGTAGAGAAAAAAAGAGAAAACTGTCTTAGAAACATTAGTGCTAGCATCCTGGAAAAGTAGTGATGTGTGTATGTGTGTGCAGGTATATGTGTTGTCTTTTTAAGCAATTGTGCTTTTGAAACTAATGACAAAAGAAACATAGGTGTGTCATGTATAATTTGTGTATGAAAACAACGTTTCTTAAAATTGCTCAATAAAATTTCTTTATGGATTAATCTCTGGTATTTTAGTCCCAGATTTGCATATATATATATATAGCCTTAAACCATTATCATTATTGTCAACATTATTTTTTTTTTCAGTGATACATATACATGTATCTATTCTTTTTCAAATTCTTTTCCCATTTAGGTTGTTACGTAATACTGAGCAGAGTTCCCTGTGTTATACAGTAAGTCCTTGTTGTTATCCATTTTAAATATAGCAGTGTGTACATGTCAATCCCACACTCCCTAACTATCCCTTCCCCCTAACCTTCCCAACTGGTAACCAAAAGTTCTTCTCTAAGTCTGTGAGTCTGTGTTGTAAATAAGATAAGTTTGTATCATTTCTTTTTAGATTCTGCATATAACCGATATAAGATATCTCGCTTTCTCTGCCTGGCTTACTTTACTCAGTATGACAATCCCTAGGTCCATCCATGTTGCTGCAAAGGGAATTGTTTCATTGTTTTTAATGGCTGAATAATATTTCATTGTATATATGTACCATAACTTCTTTATCCATTCCTCTGTCAATGGACATTTAGATTGCTTCCATGTCTTGGCTATTGTAAACAGTGCTTCAATGAACATTGGGGTGCGTGTATCCTTTAGAACCATGTTTTTCTCCATATATTTGCCCAGGAGTGGGATTGCAGGATCATATGGTGGCTCTATTTTTAGTTTTTTAAGGAACCTCCTTACTGTTCTCCATAGTGGTTGTACCAATTTACATTCCCACCAACAGTATAGGAGGGTTCCCTTTTCTCCATATCCTCTCCAGCATTTGTTGTTCGTGAATTTTTTGAAGATAGCCGTTTTGACTGATGTGAGGGGATATCTCGTAGTTTTGATTTGCATTCCTCTAATAATTAGTGATGTTGAACATCTTTTCATGTGCTTCTTGGCCATCTGTATGTCTTCTTCAGAGAAATGTCTATTTAGGTCTTCTGCCCATTTTTTGATTGGGTTGTTTGTTTTGATGATATTAAGCTGCATGACCTGTTTGTAAATTTTGAAGACTAATCCCTTGTCAGTCACATCATTTGCAAATATTTCTCCCGTTATGTGGGTTTTCTTTTTGTTTTGTTTATGATTTCCTTTGCTGTACAAAAGCCTTTGAGTTTAATTAGGTCCCATTTGTTTATTTTTATTTCCATTATTCTGGGAGATGGATCAAAAAAGATATTGCTGCGATTTATGTTAGAGAGTGTTCTTCCTATGTTCTCCTCTAAGAGTTTTATAATCTCCAGTCTCACATTTAGGTCTTTAAGCCATTTAGAGTTTATTTATGTGTATGGTGTTAAAGAATGTTCTAATTTCATTTTTTTACATGTGGCTGTCCAGTTTTCCTAGCACCATTTATTGAAGAGACTGTCTTTCCTCCATTGTACAGCCTTGCCTCCTTTGTTGTAGATTAATTGACCATAGGTGCAGGGGTTTGTTTCTTGGTGTCCTGTCCTGTTCCACTGATCTATATTTCTATTTTTCTGCCAGGACCATACTGTTTTGATGACTATAGCTTTGTAGTATAGTCTGAAGTTAAGGAGCCTGATTCCTCCAGCTCCATTTTTCTTTCTCAAGATTGCTTTGGCTATTTGGGGTCTTTCATTTCTCCATACAAATTTTAAGATTTTTTGTTCTAGTTCTGTGAAAAATGCCATTGGTAATTTGGTAGGGATTGCATTGAATCTGTGGATTGCCTTGGGTAGTATAGTCATTTTGAAAGTATTGATTCTTCCAATCCAAGAACATGGTATATCTTTCCATCTGTTTGTGTCATCTTCGATTTCTTTCATCAGCATCTTATATTGTTCTAGTTTTCTGAATACAGGTCTTTTGTCTCCCTTAGGTAGCTTTATTCCTTGGTATTTTATTCTTTTTGATATGATGGTAAATGGGATTGTTTCTTGAGTTTCTTTTTCTGATCTTTCGTTGTTAGTGTATAGGAATGCAACATTTCTGTGTATTAATTTTTTTTTTACATCTTTATTGGAGTATAATTGCTTTACAATGGTGTGTTAGTTTCTGCTTTATAACAAAGTGAATCAGTTATACATATACATATATTCCCATGTCTCTTCCCTCTTGCGTCTCCCTCCCACCCTCCTTATCCCACCCCTCTAGGTGGTCACAAAGCACCGAGCTGATGTCCCTGTGCTATGCGGCTGCTTCCCACTAGCTATCTACCTTACGTTTGGTAGTGTATATATGTCCATGCCTCTCTCTTGCCCTGTCACAGCTTACCCTTCCCCCTACCCATATCCTCAAGTCCATTCTCTAGTAGGTCTGTGTCTTTATTCCTCTCTTACCCCTAGGTTCTTCATGATGTTTTTTTTCTTAAATTCCATATATATGTGTTAGCATATGGTATTTGTCTTTCTCTTTCTGACTTACTTCACTCTGTATGACAGACTCTAGGTCTATCCACCTCATTACAAATAGCTCAATTTCATTTCTTTTTATGGCTAAGTAATATTC